TTAAATTAATTATATTAAGAAAATTTAATTTAATTTAATTTCTTGTAAATGGCAGCCTTTTTAATTTAATTTCTTCATGGAAATAAGTGAATATTTTTTGATGCAAAAAATAAAACCAACATCAGTTTTTTTTCATAATTTTCTCGCATAGTCTTCACTTTGACGAAGTTTTATTTTGCTTTCATATACTTATTTTTCTTAAAATTTCTCTCTTTTAATTCGCCATTCTTGTGGCTTTTTCTGACATAAATAGAGAGTCACTTTTTAGGTATAAATGATTTTTTAACACAATATATCCTTTAACTGAAGGTAAATCCTTTTTTTCTTAATCTTTTCCGACAGATTTCAGATTTCAGTTTCCATAGATTTAACCTTTAATGTTAAATTTCGCTTTCACTTTTGTGTTATCTACGTTATCCACGAAAACGGTCCTCTTGCCAAATTTTTTTTTCATTTCGGGAGCGAAATTTTTCTGGTTCATTGTTTAGGAGATTCGCAAAAGCTGCTTACGCTTTGAAATACTTCTGGCTAATTGAATATTGATTTGAATAAAACCGAATCGATAGAAGTGAGTCGCCAGCGTCACTCGAATTTTCCAACAAGTTTATCCCAACGAGAAATAGAACCTCAGCATGGGCGCTCCAATCCGAGGACTTTTCTATTGCACGTTATTTTTTGCGAAATTCTTCCATTTAATTTTATTGATTAAAGAAAATGAAGTAAAATGGAAGTTTTCGAATAATACAAAATGGAACAATGAAGCTAAAATTGCTGTAATTATTACGGGATGATTATTTTTTTCGGTTTTTGTTATCAGCTGTGCTAGCAAATCTCAGCATCTCTTCGAAATCAACATGGCCCGTTTCAATTAATGATAAGGTTAAAGTCAGAAAATTGAAAAATTTTTACTATAGAACTTTTTGAAGAGAACGAATTTCGAGAAATAATTGTATAGCGGTTGAAAATTTGGATCCCCATTCCCATATACATTCTGCTGCTGCTATATTTATAATTTTATTCAATCTCTATTCCTTTTCCTTTACTGTTATTTCCTATTCTTATTCCTTTACTATTCTTTCACTAAATGAATTCCTTTGCTGATGGTTCTCGTTGAATCACTAATTATTAGCCAAAAAATCAGCGGAAAATTTCCGATATTTCTGTCATTCTACTTTCCCACAATCGATCTCTATTGACTATTTTATTTTGCTTATCGAAAGGCTTGAAACATTCAAAAATTGCAGTTTTAGGAAAAGCCTTGGGAGGCAAAGAATTATTTTTGTCTCAATTTATACAAAAATTGCAAAATTCATCATTTTCTTCGTCGTAAAAAATTCTCAACTCAAAAATTTCTTTTCTTTTAATATTTTTATTCATTAAATAATAAAGCGCGAATTTTTGTTGTATTAAGCGTAATATTGCCGCCGTAATTTACTTTAATGTTTGTCATCTCGAAAAATGTTTTCAGGAAAACGTTACATAATATAAAGAAATACTCTCGTTTCTTTGATATTTGTGCTGCAAAATCAAAGGAAAGCACAGTTTTGATATCAAAAAAAGGAGACAGAAATACACTAACGGATAGTTTTTCATTTGGTTTGGATTAAATCTTTTATTCAAAAAATATTTCCTGCCGCTTTTTATTATTGATTTGATTTTGCCGATCGGCATTTTAAGGGCCGACGTCGGCTGTTTAAACAGAATCCTGAAGCGCTCATTACCTATCGAAGAATCGCTGCCGGCTTCAACGCAGCAGGTGCTGCTTGTTGCTGATCCAGGAGTTGCATATCTGAATTCAACGTCGAAAAAGATGATGACTGCTGCAGCTTTACCACAAGTAACATGCAACTCCTCATTTGCAAGTCAACCACCGCTAAATTTATTCGGAACGCCTGCGATTTCACCATTAACAGCAGCTGCCGGTCAGCCGTCATTATGTTCCACACCCGTTACCGTTTATAATCATAATCCAAATTTTCAACCGCTTATACAGTTCATGCAACAACCATATCAATACAGTCAACCTACTGTTCCAACTGTTCCAGCACCACCTTTAATTACACCGGTTACGAATGTATTTGAAGGAGTACCAATATTTTTGCTACCACAAAATGGATCAAATTCGTCACTTCCACAGAAATCTAGCGTATATTTTTTTCATTTATTTTTCTTTTGTTGGATTATTTTTTTTCTTGAAAATCAGGCGATTCTCTAGATGACAAAGTATTTGGTAATCTACTGCTACAACTCCACTAAAAAATGTTTATCGCTAACATACCTTTTAAATTGACTTTCAGGAAGCAAAAACCGTTCGGACATCACAAATACAGCAGCAAAAATTTGATACAAGCAGTAAGCGCTATTTTTTATTTGGATTTCTTCTTGAATTTTTTTGGATTTTGAAATCTTTTCATCATTTATATATTACACAACATCGTTTTGCTTACTACTGATATTGATATTAATAATGATAACTTTTGCAGAGCATTATCATGTATTTGTTGGCGATCTCGCACCTGAAGTTGATAGTAACACATTGAAAGCGGCTTTTACTCCGTACGGAGAGATTTCGTTAGTAATTTTATAAGATTTATTCAAAGATTAAGCTCAGAAAAAATTTTTTATTGGTTCGTGGCTTATAGGAAATCAATTTCGTTTGAAAGCAATAAAATATCCAATAAATGAAATGAATCTTTTTCATTTTCTTTTCTTTTCTTTTTTTCATACATTATTTCTGGTTTTGGCTGATACTTGTCGCGTGGCATTCATTTAGGGAAGAATAGAATACACTTCCCAACATCATCCGTATTTCACTGAGAAGTTTACTCTAATCAAACCTGTTACCGCCTGATCCTCATCGAAGGAACATGCAAATTTTCTGCAAATTTTTTGCAAAATAACCAAATAAATTTTTCATTTTAATGCAATAGAATGGTTCAAAAAAACTAATAAATAATTGCTCGAAGGTTATTTGTTTTAATTCTTATTTGAATGGAAAAAAATTAATTAATTTCCCTGACTTTATAATAATTTAGGTGAAACTACTTGTTCCCAATAAATATTTAATTTTCTGTAATAGGATTACTATTAGTTGATTAGAGTAAATCTGTCAATGAAATTCGAAAGATGTTGGCGACTGTGCTGCTATCCCTCAAATGTTTGCCAGTAAAAGAGATCGCTGCTGAATACCCACATGTTTCTTATCCTCAAGTGATTCTCTGACGAAAGGATCTTATCGCCGACTTAAATAGGGAAATGATAATATATTGCATAAAAAAATCTTTTACTTATCTTTACTGGAAGCATAAAATTTCATATTTTAATATTTTTTTCGTATAAATTTTGAATTCATGTAAATTTTTATCTAATCGATGGTTTATTGATGGTTTATTTATCTAATTTTTATCTAAGTGGTTTTTTCGTTGAAAGGAGATGAACATTAAATAAATATTGTGTTATTTGCATAAATATTGTGCTTAGAACATTTATGCAAAAACTTATGAATTTCCGATATTAGATAGAATTTTTTAAAAATCTTTTTTCCTTTAAAGAATTCATTAGATTAAATTAGATTAAATTAGATTTGGTGGAAGAAGAATGGTCGAGTGGAATATTGTTTTGATTAAAGCCGAGCCACTATTGTAGGCTCGATTCTTGTCCCTTCAATAAACTGTTAAAGAAGAAATTTAGGCAGCAGCTTCATTTTAATTTCTTTTCCATTTACCGTTTCAAGATTCTCTGGCGAATTTCTCTGGAATTTTCGTTTTGATAATCAGTAAAACTATTCGAAATTCTGTTAGAACTATTAGAAGAAGGCGAGTGATTGGTACTCATAATTCCTGTTTGAGTCAATACGATTAAAAATTTTTGTCATTTACGATCAGTAATAGAAATAGAAATATAGTAAGTTATCAGATTTTTTACCTAAGTTTTTAATGATAGATTTACTCCTGTCGGAGACAGGAGCCAAATTTTTGACTCTCAATACGATAATCTGAACCACTAGCAATTCGGCCGTTCTGTCCACAATAGCGATTCATTTTTAAAAAGAGAATATTTATTCGAAAAATTCTAGAGCTTACTGATATATCAGATAAATGTTAAAAAAGATGGCAGCCTTTTTTTCTTACTGATAAGGTGCCTAATTTCATCAATTAATCATGGATTAATTAATCATGAAGAAGATTTCGAAAATCTCCGATCTACTTTACCAAATGACCGAATTGTAATCTAAATAATCGCAGCCAGATGTTCTATCTGGCGTAGCCCTCTATAAAATTCGAAATTGCTATTAAAACGAAAGTTTTTATTTACCTATACTACTTAGCTAGAATTTAATATTGTTGATAACTGCAAAGCACAGCCGTTTAGAGTGGAAGATATCAAAAAGTTTATCATTGATCATTCATGTCTACGGCACATTTTGCATGCTCCCAGGGAGGATAAATCTCACATCATATTCATTTTCTCATTTGTTTTAATAAGTACCATTGTCAAAATGCGCCTTTTTGGGGTTCTATTAGGCAATGTTCTTCATCGTCCTTCACACAGAGATTGGTGCATATCTTACACTTTTTGATGGATGGCGCCAGTAACTAGGAGGAATAATTAAAATCTGGGCCATTACTCAGAAGAAGCTTCGAACATATGAGCTGCCCAGCAATATATAAGTTAAATAGTAGATGTGTGGTTGTACTACTAGTATAGAACTGGATCTGAGGTGACCCACCTATACTACTGGCACCAAAATGCAAAAAATTTGTCTGGTCCGATAAGCAAACGGTTCAAGCCTAAACCCAACCAGGTGAGTGCTCTCAAAAAAAAATGTGAGAAATTCCGTAATTATTTTTATCACCATATTCCATCATCAAATTTTCATGTAATGTGATTTTCATGATATAGTTAGTAAATCCTATCCGAAAATAAATTTTATTATAGCTTATTGATTTTATCATTCATCATTAATTTTCATCATTAATTTTATGGATTTTTTGCTTAAGATATTTGTTTTCAGAGAAGCAAAAATTATACGAGATCCACAGACAATGAAATCTAGGGGTTATGGATTTGTTGCTTTCACTGTCAAAGAGGTAAATAATCGAAAAGAAAATGTTAAGATGGTTTTCTTTGTTTATTTGCACGAGTCAATTAATTCTGGTCAAAAATTGAGACCAAAAACAGACTTTTAAGAAAAGTATATCTCTAGTTGAAATTCATTTTTTATTAATCCTATCATCTTTAAAAATCATAGTAATTATCAATTTTCAAGAATGCCGAGAAAGCTATCGATGAAATGAATGGAAAAATCATTGGGCGTCGACAAATACGTACAAACTGGGCATCAAGGAAAGTGAATTCCAGCGATGATAGTTCACTAAAGGAGCTTACTTTTGAACAAATTTTCAATGCTACATATCCTGACAATACATCCGTCTATGTAGGACATCTTAGCTTAACAACAACAGGTATTTTTCTTCACTTTACAAATTATCGGGCATGTAGTTTTTAAAATACTTAATAAATTTTATTGATCATCAATTGAGTATATATTTTTGTAAGTGGTTTCCAGCTGTTTTTTGGATTTCCTTTTAATGATAGGTTTTGTTCAGTAGAACTGTCCATCTAAAAGAGCTATGCAAAAACAGGTAAAATACCTGAAATTAATAGAGAGAAAAACTATTTTTGAAATAATAAATATCGAAAAATTTCTTACAAAATAAATTTATGGTAAAATATTTTTCAATAACATAAAATTTCATTTAAAGAAATAAGTATTATAAGTAAGAATTTCTCGTTTTTGATGAAAATTCTAGTACAAAAAGGATTATGAATGGATATTTAAGAAGAAGATTTGCGTGAAGCATTTTCATCGATGGGGTCCATTAGTGAGATACGTTTATTTAAACAACAAGGATATGCATTTATTCGTTATTCCATAAAAGATTCGGCTGTTCGGGCTATTATGTGTATGAATGGAAAAGAAATTAAAGGTAGCAGCATTCGCTGTAGTTGGGGAAAGATTATAAGCGACACAAATGTTCGTTTTTTCAATCTTTTTATGGCGAAAGTTTTCCATCCTCAAATATTTTAGCAAGCTTGATTGCTTTCCTTCCTTAATATTCCTCATAAAATCAACCTTATATTTGATATTCCTTCAAAATTTGACTTTTCTACAATTCATTTCTCTCAAATTCTATAATTTATTTCAAAGAACGAAATTAGCATATAAAATTGCATTATGATTATAAGATAAAGAATTTACAGCCATTAACAAAACAAGGTTTAAATGGACTGAATCTTATTGGAAGTGGCCTATTCAGTTTAAATCCTATAATTAATCCTTTCATATGGAATCAAAATCATTGTCAAACGCAGTTATATGGACAACCCACTATTCATTCATGGCAATCTTGAAATAACTAAATATAAAAAAGATATGCGTCTGCCTCCAAAATAATGATAGGAGATGTGGAAGAGATTATCTGTTTTTCATGATGTTTATAGATAAGGAAAACTTTTTTTGTGGCATTCCATGACCTTCATTTTGATATTCTGAGTTTATTCTTTTATTTCAATGATATGAATATATATATATATATATATATATATTTAATATTTGCTCATATAAGCCAGTGGATCAAAAAATCTTAGTCAATAATGATAATAGAATTAATCAATAATAGAATCAATATTGTTAATTGACGGAAGAAGTGCAATTTTCGATTAATTTGACATTAATGAATCCAATATATGCAATATGTTTGAATTTATGAACGCCAATTACATAAGTTTAAATTATTTCAGTTATTACTTTAGTTTTATAAAATTCAGAATTAATATGGCTTCGAAACTGATGAGACTTTATAGCTCAAATGCTATTGAATCTTTACATTGTATTCAATTTGATCTATCTAATCTCTTAACATGACCTATTTTAACTTATTTTTTCATATCGAAGCCATCCTAAACGATATGCTTTGTGATTTATTTATGTTGATTATAATGGTTGTGGAAATTAAATGCATGGATTATTGATCATGACATAAATTATTCTTCTAGACCAGTGGCCATCAGTTTTTCTATGAGTCTCCTAGAGATGCCACAAAAATCCATGAGCCTCAGTGCAATTTTTTCAAATATATATTATTTCATATATTTTTGTTAAATTTTTCCATCTAAAAGTTTCGAATAAATTTGATAAACTGCGTAAAATAATCGTTAACAAATATTATTATTCGAATAAAATTATATATAATTCGAATTTCCCACACACTCTGAGAATCGCGATTTTTGATATTAAAATATAAATTGATCTTTCTCGCAATACTTGATTTATATACAAAAAATTGTTGAAAAATATTTATCTTTTTAAAGATGAGGATTAATAACGTTAAATTAAATTTCTTTATTAATATGTAAGTTTACAATGTGCGGGTTCTGTTTCAATATAATTCTCTATTTATTGTGTGCAATTGAAACGTGGAATATTTATGCGAAAGCCTAAATTGAAGGAATCAGAAAAACGGCCATGTATGAATATTATTTATCCCAAAACTGCGTGCTCATCGGTATGCTTCGTCCTTCAAAGAATCGGATTTTTTTAATGAGTAATAAGCACAATTTTTATTGGCCTTAAATAATTAAATAATATAATTAAAACTTCATGAATATAAGTGAATGTTAATTGGCACTAATTTTACGGACGAAAATTCAAGTTAAATGAGTGGAAATTTTTTCGGCAAAACCAATTGAATTTCCGCTTTTCTCTTTTTTAAATCTCAGAGTATTTGTTGCAAGAATAAATATTTTGTTTTGCAATAAGTTTCAACAAGAAATATTTTTTCAAGTGCTGAACGGATTAAATTAAGGATTTACAGCAAAAGACTGCGATAAAAATTGCATTTCTCGGTTAAATAAGCAAGCATGTATATCAAATATAAAATATTGTTATATATTACTTCTTTTCCGCTAACTTATTAACTACCAAATTAGGCAGTCAACAATATATATTTGAAGGTTTCATCCACGCTCCAGAAATTTTATGTTTTCAAATTCATTTTTCATTTTTTATTTTTTTCATTTCATTTTTTTCATTTCAAATTGAATGGTGTACAAAATTAATGTATTATATATAGTAAAAGTGGCTTAGAAAGAATAATTTTGCTGTTTTACTGAATTATATAGAAAGGTAACATTGATTATGTGGGGATAGAATGGCTCAGTGGGTTGTTGCTCAATTGGGAACGCGGATGTTGAGATTCGATTCCCCGCAGGAATAAACATGTATAAAAATCGGGGTGATGTTGGCGACTTACCTGTATTTCTATCGCCAAGTTTCCCTATTCCCTAGCGTATTGCCCAATTGCGACAAGCCAGTGGAGCGAGTGGAGCTAGTTGTGGTGAGGACTTTTAAAACTTTGACTATGTAATTGGTAAATTTGCTTTTTTTTGGGTTATTCACTAAAATTTTTAAAGTGCAGAAGCAGTTCAATGAATTTCCGTTACAAATTGCTCGAGCGGAAGTGAATGAAATGAATTGTCAACATAAATGCCACCTTGTTCATCTTTTTTATTTTTTGTTCTCCTTCTTTATTCTTTCTCTTATTTTTGCAGTATTCTACAAAATAACCTTCTTACATTGTGCCAAATTTCATTGCGGCGAGTGGTCAACGTGGGTGGATTAATTTGCAAACAAATTTTTGCAAAATTTCTTCTAATGAATGTTTATGCACTTTTAATTGTCTCATCGTTTATGAAATATGCATGGAATATATGTGAATTTAAATAATGATGAGATTTAAGTACATATTTTCTGAATTTTTCTGAATCTCTCATCAGTCGGTTAATTTTCAGTTTTAGAAGAGTCAGAATGCTGTTTATAAGCGAAAATCAAATAGTATTAGATCATACAGAACTTTTTTATGATATTAATGTTTATGACATTTTCACATGTCATTAATAATGTCGTTTTTTAATCAAGAAATAAGAAATAAATAAATATGAGAAATATCGCCTTAGAAAAAGTTTGCATAATAGTGTGGAAAAATGAATGTAAATTCACTTTTCACTTCAAAGGTGATTCTCGAACTTCTTTAGAAATGGTGGTTTCAAGAGGAGCACATCCGAAGGTCTTATAGATCTTCAGAAATCTTCAGATCCCCACTTTCTGTCCTCTATAATTGCATTAATCCAAAAAGTTTGGTAAAAATATGGTATTAATGATTTTTAGTGATTTAGTGATTTAATATTGCATTCTCTGCTTCATTAGTTATTGAGAAGAAAAAATATTTCTGTTAGAGAATCACCCGGATAAGAAGTGTAACTTCAACATCCAGATTTTTTGATAGGTTTGCTACGAGAAAAGCCGAACCAAAGTTGCTCGAGAATAAATAAGTTCGCATATGAGTTTAAGCAACCACTCGATTATTCTTCCTCTGATTATATATATTAGTGTATCGCATTATTTTTAAAAAAAGACCATTTTCATTCCCATTTAAATACAAATATAAAAAAAATAATCTCACTCAATTAGCGATATAATTTTACGCTTAAGTATGAAAATAATAAAATAATTTAACTTAAATTTAAATTAATTTTTAATTCTTTCAAAAATTTCAGTTTCTTTACCTTTCTTTAGTAGGAAATTCGTTTGAATTGCTTTAGGTGGCAAATTAATTAAATCAAAAAAGTTTAATCAGAATAATTCAATTTATTTTAAAAAATTTACAAAAAGTCTATCATCTATATATTTCCTTCTACAGATATATGAATCAACACAGTAATTAGCTTTAATATCAGTGATAATTTCCGGCAATTTTTTTTTTGTTGTCAAGTTTCAATGATTGTTGGCAATCGGCATGACCGGATCGCATGTCAACCAGCAATGAATAGATTCCATATGGAGTAAACCTGTCATTAAATACTTCAACGGCGATGCTAGAATTTAGAATCTCATTTTCCAAGTTGACCTCAGGCAACCAATTTTAAGCTGTGATAATGAGTGATCTAGCCTCACACACAAAAATAATGCCACTGCAAGAACCATAATAATTTTTCTGAAGTTCGAACTTTTTGAATTTAGAATCCTGTTAAATTTTCTTGCACTATTTTTGTAAATCATTTATTCGTTTTACTTTTAATGATCAATCAGTCATGAAAGAAGCTCCACAAAATTTTGCCCTTAGAATTGTAATCACAAACTGTTTTGAGCGATATTAGGATGGGCGTTGCTGATTTACTGGTTATTTCTCATTATTTCCCATATATATATAGTAACGCATTAACTGAGTTAGCCCATACCATACAATGAGAGTTATCCATATTCCTAAAATGCTTCGCTTTTCCTTTCTATTTTTTACCTGTTATCTGCAATTTTGCAACTCAAATGTAAGTTTAAATTTGCCTTTTTTTCATGCTATTTATTACATTTTATTATTTATAATAATGCAAAGACTATAAAATTTATTAATGTGCAATCAAAAAAGAGAATAAATTATCAGGCGGGAGCAAACCTACTTAAAAATCTAGCTGGTGATTCACCTGTTTTCTATCGCCAAGGGACTTCTTGGCATATCTATTTAGTCTATCTGCAAGCAAGTGGGTCGAGTCTAGCCAGCAATGGTACTCTCTAAAAAAATTATGTAGATAGAACCTATTGCCAAATTTAATTTATAGAATATAAAAGTTTCCTCCTGTTGTTTCTGAGATTCTTATTGCTGCAAGTCATTCTTTCTTACTCAAATCTCTGGTAAAAATTCCACCTTAATAGCCAGTGGAGCCTACATTATGGGAAATGGTGAATACTTTTAAAAGGAAAAAAAAATTATGAAATAAATGAACATAAAGAAGTGCACCAAAGTTAGCAGAACATAATTAACATAATTTGAAAATTCTTTATCGAGGAAGCACTATTTTTGGGTTTTAAAGAAATATTCTGCTAATATTCGGTTAATGAAATTATAAAAAATTTATTAACTAATTTAGCAGACCATGAAAAAAAAAAGCGAAGACTATCACTTGAATAATAGATTTGATTTGGCATTTGATTTTTTTTAGTAAATACTTATTGCTTTAGTTTTCCACAGTAGTTTTTTTTAAAAAATTGTCTTTTTCTATTATCGGTCTTCCGGCAGAACTGTTCAAATGCTGTTCATCGTTCTTTATATCACACCTTCAACAAATGTGCTCTCTGATATGGCAAAAGGAAATAATACCAGAAGACTAGAGCAAAGTAATTCTTTCAATTCTTAAGAAAGATAAGAGGGCGTACTGCGATCACTATCGAGGAATCAGCCTACTAGACATTCTGGAAAAATTTTCGCCTTCCCTTTGCTGAATAGACTCATGGCAACAGGAGATAGCGTCCTAAGCAAGCTGCATTCAGACTTAACGCGGTTGTGCTGTTCGGATATTTATATTAAGAAGGGTGCTGGAATATCGCTTCAAATACCAGCAATCCACCATCACTTGCTTTATCGATTTCGCAACTGCTTTCAATTCTATTGATAGAGAATATCGCTCTGGAAAATGATGGAATATGACGGTGTAATAAGAGATCATTAAGCTCATAAAGACAATTTATCAGCATGCCCTGGCACAGGTCTGTGTATATGGGGAATTGACTCCTTCGAAATAAGAACTAGTGTTCATCAGTGCTGCGCCCTTTCCCTCACATTATTTAACTATGCGATCGACTGGATAATGGGCATGGCTTGTCGGCACTCAAGAGGTGTGCAACTCAGTCAAGAGCATAGCATCACATAGACCTTGAACATGTTGAAAGATGTGGTCCTTTTTGGACCCTTTTGTGACAATTGTAATGAAATGTAAATAATATTAAATAATGTGTCAACAAGTGCAGCAAGAAATGGACTTGAAAAGACTTCTATATGGTTCGCTCTATTTTGCTATATGGGCATCAAACATGGTCAAGTGGAAGATATTAAGAAGTTATCAGCTTTTGACTATTCATGTCTAAGGTACATTTTACGGGTCCATCGAGCGGGTACAATTGCCCTCCATAGGAGTTGATATTTCGCTACTTGCCGAACCCTGTGATGATTGGCGTCAAAAGCGAGGGGAGCAAGACCTGTACAAATACAGTCAGGAAAGATTTTGAACGTATAGGGGAATTAGCGATATATGGGCTTAGACGGTGGAAAAAAATTTCTATTACTAATAGTGATGGAGTCGGACCGAGCGGCTTGGAGACGTCTTATCCTTGTAGTCAGCGCAGCCAGCCTAACCAATAATGCTGTTAAAAAAAGATTACTACTTTAGATTTATCACTATATTGGAAAAAAAGGCAGAATCTTCGATATGTTTTTTCTTGAATAAATATTGAAAAAATTTCAAAAATCTTTAAACAACCTCGCAGATTCATTAGAATATTCATTCAAAAAAACTGACTACAACAAACGGTAGTATGGCAGGAAACAAAAAAGTAAAATTTATCAAGCACAATTTGTAAGAAATAAAATGATTATTCGAAACTATAACTGTAAAAGCTGTTTCAAAAAAGCATAAAACAAGCTATTGAAGTTGAAATTAAGTTCATGAAATTTCACTCAAATGGCATCATTCAGTTTTTTCTTAAGTGCTGCAAGAATCATTTCGCTAATCTGTTCTACTAACTATCAATGAAAAAAAGTCGTGATGCAGTGACTTAGTTTTAAGGATATTTCGTTGCCTTAAATATATATTATTTCAATTTCATTCCATTATTTCGAATATTAGAGCTATATTAAAGTGCTAGCAGATTCAACATCTTATGAGCAAATCTATACTAAACTATCTCAATTCTAAACTAAAATCTAAACTATCTCAATTTTTAATGAGTTCAAATCAAATCATATAATTCTAGCCTAGAAATGCCTTAACCGATTATATCTAAAAGGTACAAGAAATTTTTTCGAAACAACAGGGAGCAGCAGCAAACTGCATTATATTTTATATTCTAAATCAGGTTTAACAAAATGCCTAATAATTTGAATCAGACCGGATCAAATCAAAGCAAATCTAATGCACTAAATAATTTATAAAATAATTATAAATCAGGCGAATTCAAAATAGCAGCTTATTTTACCTGAACAAAGTATTTGCTCTAATCCACTCTTCATGGAAATTCAGGGCTCATAAAATTTCTTTAAAATCAGTTTGTGCATTTCAGATGCTTAAAACAGAAATCATCGTTCAGAAATACAAAGCTCTTCGATATTCGGAGATTGATCGAATCGAGGATAGTAGATATACTTTTAAGTAAGTTTTTTTCATTTGTTAACAGGAATTTCTCATAGAATTATGTCGAGTGCACTACTCTGACAAAGAGCGATTGAAGAGCGACACTGTGAAAGAAACATTGTGCGATCATCATGTTTAAAGCATCTCTAGAAGAATATTGACAAAATTAGCCGAATTAATTTTATTTCCCATATTTATTGCGTATTAAATTTGGTAAAATAGATTAAATAATAAATAGAAAATTTAACAAAATTAAGAAAAAAAGCAAAACACAAATAACAAAATGAATTAAATAAAAAAGAATTAAAAAAAAAGTTACTTTAAAATAATTGATAAAAACAGCTTCTACCATACTGTGACCATTTATTAACCATTTTCAACAACTGTTCTTCATATTATGCCTGTCACGGCGAAATAAGCCAGATTAATTCATATGTGGTGCGGAAGGCTCACATGTATTTCCGTCTTCAAGTAACTGACTATCTGACGAAGTCTCATTGCATTTCATATCCTATAGTTCGAGACTTTTTTTGTTTTAAATTTCAAACATTTGAATTGCAGTTAAGCCAGATATATTAATCCGTGCTTATTTGGATATCTTTCCTATTTTAGTTGATGAGATGAGTGTCAAAACTGATAAAAAATGTTCGCTCACTCAATACCATTTTAGATTTTGTGCATGTGAATCTGAGACGGAAAACCCGGAGTCGTCAAGATTTTGCGAATGCTCAGAAATTTTGTACGGAAAACCTTTAAAAAAGTCAATTCCTCATGCGTTATATCCTGCAAAATGCATGTATAGTCCTTATTTAACGATGTGCCTTACTGCTAATATTTCCTCATCAAATAAACAAGTTCGTGTTATGATGTTGGCGATTAAAAAACATAAGCAGTAAAATAAAATAAACTGGTGACTGAGTTGATCTTTAAAATAATTAAAAAATCATCATAAAAAACATAGGTTTATTCAACAGTGAAGTATTATTAAGTGAAATTTTTCAGCGTATTCTATACGCAAATGTTGGCGTTGAATCTATTAATCTCACAAATCCACCTTATCAAATCATTCCCAATTCCCGTTATAAAACGACAGTTATATTACAATGCTCAACGGATGAAAAATCCACCAAGTATTTTCCTTGTGGTACTGGGAATTTAGAGTATGTTGCTTAATTATCTTTTTTTTTATATGAACTAATCTCCTAAACTGTGTTATGCATTATGTATTATTATCTGGCATTCATAATTCGCTCTAAATATTTCAGACTAACGTATATTGTATTATCAAAATATTCGCCAAAGACACGGCAAAATTTATCAACATTTGAAAAAATGCTAAAATCTTTCACAAACGCTCGTACTTTATACAAAAAAATACCCTATCAAATTTTGAAGACTCCCCCACAATCGCTATCGATAAACATTATCCCGAATTCAGTAAGCTAAAAAATTTCTTAGGAAAATTTAATGATTTAAAAATTTGATTTTACTAATATTTTCCAAATATAAGCAAAATGTTCATTTTATAAATTTATGAAGTTCTAAAATCATTTCATAAATTCAGTCAAATACTAAAAAATGAGTTTTTAAAACGAATTTGCAGATGGAAATGATCAGCAAAATTATGTTCGAAAGATCACAGTTTTATCGTATCAAACCCGAACAATTCAGAATTGATTTCTTTAAAAAAGCGGTAAGTTTTATATTGTCCAGAAAAAAAGATTAAGATATATTTAAATTAATGGACAACCTTGCAGTAAATTATCATTATCACTGTAGCATTAAAGTAAGTATTATCAAAATTAAATTGTTGCAAAAAGTACCATTAATGTTTAATCAATCAAAGATCGCGACGGTGATATTTGGTTATAAAAATGATTTAATTAAAAGGTTTTTAGTTATGTTTTGATTTTTGTTGTTGTTTAGTGGTTTTAAGGCGCTATTCTACTGGAAAAATGAATACAATTAATTTGTATGTTTTTTAATTGAAAATGTTTTAACCAATTTATCATTCATTTTCATTTTAAAAAAAGAGACGAAAATTCGGTTTATTTAAAATTCAAGCTTTGTTTTTGATTCATTTATAAAACCACAACCTACACTTTTAAAAAGAAAAACTCGTTCGAGCTGGAAAACGAAATTTTGCAAGAATGTTTTTGATTTTAAATAATTTTTTCCAATTTATTTTTATATTTATAAATTAATTAGAAAAGCTTAGCTAAAATTATACTTTGAACTGCAGAATTTTTTTCAATACAATTTTTCAATTTCTAATCGACAGATTATTAGAAATTTACTTAAAAAAGCGACATTAAATAAATAATTTTATAATTAATTAATTTCTGAAACATTTACAAAACTAAGTATTATTTGAAAAAAGTACTATAAATTACGCGAAGATTATTTCTTATTTTCGCCCATTTTCAATATTTTCGACAAAAAACTAATTTAAAAAAAAGCAAAATATGGAAAATTATCGAAATAAAACTTAATGCAAGTAATTTGAGGCAAATATGCTTGAAAATAGATTTTATTTTCAATTCATACAAATATTTTTTGCCGATAAAGAATGAATGGAAAATAGCTATCGGCGATAATAATAATGTACGTCCCGGAGATTTTCACCGAAAATTGCAATTCACATGCAATTTTAAATAAATTAAACGAACATGCGAAATTACAATTTAAAGGAAATGAAGAAAGTCTTCCTTTGAAACGAAATGCTTTGACGAAACAAGAAATAGAAGAAAGCGAGAAGAAATGCAGTGGAACGGAGTGGTGGAAAGAATATCGAGCGAGACGGAAGCATAAACTTCAACAATTTTGATGAAAATGAAGAAGATTAGCCAAATTTCTGCGCGAGAAATTCAGCTTGAATTGAGAAAGGATTGAAAAGGATGCCAAATGGAAATTCAAAATGAACACCGCAAACTGCATAAACTTCGTTTTGCAGCTGTTTTCTTCGTCAATAAAAGAAATTGTGTTAGTAATTGAGTGGAAGGTGAAGTAAAACAGGTTAATCGATTAACAGCCAGATTAGTCGTTCCTTGAACCTTTCAATTAATTCAAATCAGCCATTAATGATTCGCTAAAATTTTTATATTAGCTACAATTTTTGGCAAATTAAATTATTAAGCCAATCATTAAATTAAAGACTTTCTAATCGCAATACTGCCCTTTCATATTCAATGTTTCCCAAAACTTTTTTCTTGCATAGAAATTTTCGAACGAGTTTTATCTTAAAATGAAATTTTTTAACAAGTGCTATTTCAGTTATTAAGAAATCATAACGTTTATCGGAGAAAACATGGTGCTAAAGTACTGCAAATATCCGATGAGGTGTCACGTTCTGCTGAGCTTTGGGCGAACTATTTAGCAAACAGTGTTTCCTGCTTAAAGCATGATCCAGCAAAGACGTACGTACATTTTACATTGATATATTTTTGCAAGATTCCTATATAAAGAAATAATATTTCGTATAAGAAATTCTAAAACGCATAATTTTCCGAGAAACATATCGACAGGGATTTAAAAAATTATCGAGTTGGTTTATTTGAAGAATTTTCAGTTATGGTGAGAATTTGTTCTATTATGCTTCGAATTTCTTACCTGATGAAGAATCCATGGCCCTCCTAATAATGCAAAGTTTTTATATCGAGGCTAAAGGCTATAATTACAAAACGTGAGTTCACCTTTTGTTTATAATTTTTATTGATAGTTAAATCAGTCTTTTGCAAATAAAATTCTGCAAACTTGGAACATATCAGATAAAAAATTGGAAAATTTTTAACATAGATAAGTAAAAGCCTAGTGCTGAATTTACTGTGCCACATTAATTCAGTGATTCAATGATCTTGCAAAAAGTAACTTTGTTTTGCTTTCAAAAAAGAGGAAAAATTATTTAAAGGCATGAACGATTGGATTATCATAAAACTGGGCATTTCACTCAGCTTATCTGGAAATCGTCAAAATTTCTTGGTATAGGTGTTGCCCTGAAGCGATGGGATGCAAAATATTTTAATGAATGTCAACCACGAACTGAGGCAAATTTGATGTATTTAGTACTGAAATATGATCCACCTGGAAACATTCAAACTTTAGAATATTACCAGCGAAATATTTCTCCTCCTCAAAGCTGAACAAATTATGATTTCAGTAACTGAGGTAATCCATTCTATTTATGTTTTGAATAGTAAATTTCACCTATCCTCTAATGCAGTTTACATTAGAAATTTATATTATGTTGAAAATCTTAAGAAGCGTTTCCATCAATCCTAAATATGACATTATTTTGCCGAAGTTTGCTATAAACTCATGCAACATACGCTACTATAGCTATTCACAATGGTTTTTTGTATAGGGAATTCATCTGGCTTAATAAAATGACCAATTAATCGGAGTAGAAATTTTTACAATTTTTACTATTTCTTTGCAGGTTTTTATCTGAATAGAATACTGGATATGCAGGTTTTTGCACGACGGAAGTGCCAGAAATTTTCCTAATTTTTCGTATATGAGTTAAATCAGGCGCTTACTTTAACAACACTACAGTCGTTTACAGAATTCGATTCGCCAATTAGTGAAGAAAAATGCTTCTCATAAGTTTTAACACAAAGTTCTAAGTGTAAATTGCACACTTCTTTTGAAGGAAATAAATTAAATAATGAGCCATTTACAAAAAAAAGCCATGGTAAATCTTAAAATCTTACCATATTTATCAAAAATAATAGTTACCGTGATTTTTTGAGCGAGAAGATTCTGAGTCGAAATACTTTCTAGGAACGTGGTCAAAATAATTATTAATGATATTCTTAATTCTCTCGAGAAACATAGAAAATGGCTTTGCAAAATAGACAAAATTAGATAAGTCCGAGTGCTAGCATTAAAATTATTTAAAATTATTTAATATTTAATCATTTAATAAATTATTTAATAGTTTTATTTATTTAATAACAAATATGGTTTATTTATTTAAAAATTCAAAAATTGCCAAAAAATTTCTTGCTTTTTAATACAATTTCGATCATTAAATTACATCACTTCCGTGTTCTTTTGGTTAAACTATATTCTTCAATTGAAGCGAACTAATTGTTTTCATTTATTGCTAAATGATCTCCATCATCTAAATAAATTTTTTATTGCATTTTTATTGTAATTTTTTTATAAAAACTTTTTTGTTTTTTAAATTTTTTAAAACATCAATTCATACATTAAAATTGTATGAAAAGGTTGAAATGTGGTGAGTATTGCTAATGTTTGATAAATATTTTGAAAATCTAATTCACTGCTAAAAATTTTTCATTGTTAAATTGAAATTCGACTGCAAATAATATTTTCTAATATTGGCGAAAAATGAGAAGCATTCAAAGAAAAATTAGAATAAAATTTTCTATATATGAAAAGATTATAACATTTTAATGAACGGCAATTATTTAAAGTTTTTCAATTTTTTACTGAATTACTTGCATTACGTTGTTTAATTAATTAATTATCGAAGATTCCAAGGTTATTTGTATCTCCCTTGTTAATTTAATATTTTTCATTTATAATTTTTACTAAACCAGATTCATTGCCAAATTTTTTTCAATTAATGATTCGCCAGTTGCCAGTTATATGAAACTATATTATAATTATATCAAATTAAATGTTTTTCCTCGAATCTCCATTATTTCGCAATAGCCCACCAAGTAACAAAAAAAGCTTCTGGTAAATTGATATAAATCGATGCAAAAAAATTGAGGCCGGAATGTATAAACTACTAATAAATTTGAAAAACAATTTGCTTGTTGTTAATACATCCAAAATATTAATCAAATCGTTCATATTAAAACGCCCAAACTAAATTAAAGCATCACAAACCAAACTGAATTTTCTAAATTTCTTAAACTAAATTTTCTTGGAATATATTTGCGATTTCTTTCTGACGGGAAACTTCCCATATATTTTAAATCAAATTGTTTCACTGGCACTTGTGAATTTACAGGCTTTTTATTAACTTTTTATTGTTAGTTTTTTTAGCTTCGGCATTAATTCTTAGTAATTCAGTAACTTTAAAATTGGCTTGCAGATATTTAATCTTTCTATTTAATCTTTTACAATTAAAATTTTACATTATTTATTACTTTTCCATTTATAACTTTTTGTTTTAGCTTTCATTTTTTCTTTTTTAATTTTTTTATTAATTTTTTTCAAATGCTCCTCCGCTGGTTTGTTGGGCCAAACAAACAACTAAACTTAGCTATTATTTTATCTCATTTTATAATAAATAACTTGTCTTAATACAAGCAGAATTGCCTTCAAACTGTTCTCACTAGTTTTCCGCATAAATGTAAAAAAGTATTGTACGCTTTGAAAATATACAATAGGCCTTTTGTAGGTGTTGTGGAATATTTAACGCTGTTTAGGAAAGATTTTTTAGAAAATATAGTAATATGACCACTATCATGAAATATCAAAGTGTTCTATCTTTGGAGATCGTGGTTCCACAAGTGGTATAACGCTGCTTCAGAAAATATTTGATTAAGGGAAAGTAAAAGGGCACAAGAGAGCAAGCGAACAATACGCATGAAGAAATTTTAGCAGTAGTTTGAGGAAATATAATAAGGTAAGGTTTGACGGAATTAATACGAATTAATGCGTAATAAAAAAATAATATAAGGGAATTTAAGGAAATTAGAACTTAATGCAACGACGGAGATATTAAATGATTTTAGGAAATTTCGGAGGGACGGAGAATTGTAATAGGTTCTGTAATAGGTTGTGAGAGAAAACTGCACGTAAATAATTCAACAAATCCTTCTATTCAGTAAATCCTTGGTCGTTGATAAAGATTAATAAAATTAATAGATTTCTGGTTTGGCTGATTAGTTTCCAAAGAGCCACTTTGGAACAGATAAGTAGATTCTCACCATGGTTCAGACTCATTTTTAGTGATAGATGCACGATCGTAAGTCGATAGGAATCTGGGCTATGGTTTAACTAGAACAAAATAAAAGCGACAATTCACTGAATTACTATCTTGCTCCTTACTGCTGGTTTATCAGTTATAAGTCTATTTAAATTCATTTCTTGGTCGAATACTTATTTATTTATTTTAATGGAGCAAACTCGAAAGCTTAATTTAAAAAAAGATGATTTTACGCTTTTGCCAAGATTTTCATTTAAAATAGATTTATTGCGAAAAGCTGATATTAGAAATGTCATAAAAACCTGTAATAAGCGGAGCCCGTCTAACCAGCAATGATGCAAGCTATCCGAACAAGAAGAACGATTGATAAGAAAATCATTTTTTTACGTTTATTATTGAAAAATAAATCAACAATTTTAATGAAAAACATTTTAATTTTAATGAAAATAAATTTTAATTTTAATAAAAAAATAAAAACACGCTTCTGAACAAAATTTCTCATTTTCTTTATTTTGAAGTAATATTCGCAAAGGATTGCTTTATTCATCGGACTATTCGTGGTACCTTTTAGCAAAGATTTTATGCGAAGAAAATAACGATGTGGCTCAGCTAATAAATGCTTCGATGAAACATCTTTTGTCTACTTAAGGGAAAATTTACTATACGATGCAAAATAAATTGTGGCAGCGATAAGGGGAAATCTCAACAACAAAATTCATGTTTAAATCGAAAACTTGGTAATTAGAAAATATTAAACTTGATATTCTTCTTCTAACCATTACTAGTTAGGCTGGCTCCAGCGGCTACAAGGCTAAGACGCTTGCAAACAGCGCGATCTGGTGCCATCGTCGACAGTAATAAAAACCATTCTTTTTTCCATCGTCTAAGTCCATATATTGCTGGTCCATCTACATGTTCAAAGTCTTTTTTGACCGTATCAGTCTTTAAAACTTGATATAACTGAATTACTACTGATCACATAATTTCAAAGATTTTTTCGATTATTGCATTTCTCCTAAATTTCGCATTCTATTTCATTTAATTTCTATTTAAAATATCGATAAATTTCAGTTTTTTATTCTTCTAAACTATTAAAATAGCTATTAGTACGCTGAGAAATAAATAAATGCTATGGAACCACTCGGAACAGAAATAAACTTGGACAACCAATGTCATTTGCGATCTTCTAAGTAAAATTATACATTATATATATATATATATAATTTATATAATTTATATATAATTTATATATATATAATTATATATATAAAAATCATCCTAGTACAAAAACATTTTAAACATTTTATAATAATTTATATTATCATATTTATTTAAATGTTGCGTTTAAAGTTATACAATTCTTAGGGACTAAGTTTCTAAATGATTGATGGTTTAGAATGCATATATGATATGATATAATGATTTTTTATAAGAAATTTTTTGATCTTTTATAAGAAATGGATGGAAATTAATTTATTTAATAGTTTCTAATTTTTTAAAAAACCATTTTAAGTCTATTCTAAGTCTTCTACTTTTAGGCCCAAAATTAGCTTTCTAGTGGATTTTACAAAGAATATTGAAAAAATAAGCCTAAAAATATCAAAGCGAAAGTTAGTCGAAGATATGGTATCCTATTATAGAGAAGCTAACAATGATAATATCCACCATTCACCACTGAGGATAGCAATTTATAAGGATTATACGATTTATTCAAATTTGTGGCTACATATTTGATACTTTATATTTGGTGTTACCAAAGTGCTTAACAATTCTTGAAAATTTTTTGCACAATAATATTTTAAGAGTTGAAAAATTCTTGGAGAATGGAGCATTTTCTTTTCCTTAATTTATTTCACTTCATTTCATTTCCTTCATTCGTCAAAAAATCTCATCCTTCTTCGAACATGGCCAATCGCTTTAGTTTTTTTAGAAGAATTTGTCTTTTATCCACGTATTTGTTAGTTTTTTTGCCTACTTTATTGTTCCGTTTTATGGATTATTGAATTGCACCAAATCGTTTAGAAAAAATGCCTCAAAAAAATTGGAGTTAAACGATCTCCAATGTAATATAATCGAATCGCTGAAATCAATCGGCGAGAACAAATCCATAAAATGACTCATAAAATTTCAAAGTTTCGATGATGAAGAACTTGTTTCTTTTATTTATTGAAGTAAATACTATCTGTGCACATAAATCGCTTTATAATTTTCAATACTTTATTTATTTGAAGA